CTCTCTCTCTCTCTCTCTCTCTCTCTCTCTCTCTCTCGCTCTCGCTCTCGCTCTCGCTCTCTCACTCTCTCTCTTTCATGTCTGTGTGTGTGTTAATGAAGATCAACTTAGCATGTTTCAAGTATACAACACATTTCTCTTTCTGTTTTAAATGTAAGTTATTGTGGAAGGCATCTATGCCACAGAGAAAGGAACTAAAAAATTACTAAGCTGTTTTTTCTGATGGTTTTATGAAAGGCAGATTGAACAAAAAATTAGCACCTGTTTTTGAGAAGGCCAAATGTTCTAGAAAATTCTTTGAGTCTTATCTTTGTGGCAGATAAGACTCCACCTATGCATGAAATAAAATCCTGCTCTTCCCACTACCCTGGGGCCCTGTAAACTGTGGCAGAAAAGAAAGATCCTTTCTCAGCTCCTTTGCAAGAGGGTTGTGCTCCAAACATATCCCAGCCTAACAGATGTGGCTCACCTGTCATTGCATCGTGGTACTTACTGTGCACCATCGGTTGTAACTACCACTAGAGATGTATTGGAAGACCTTCATTTTAAATGGTATTTGACTTGAAGTGATAATTATTTCAAATCCTTAGGTTTTCAACCTTGACTTATCACAAATCCAAATTTCTCTATTATTAAATCTTATTTTAAATTAAAAATCTACATGGTTTTTTTTTTTTGTACAGCCTGAAAGTTCAATCTTTTTTTTCCCCCAGGATATTGACTTCTTCTGTGAATAAGAAATTAGTTAAATCATGGAAACACAAATGATGAAGACAAGAAATGGAAATAACCAAAACAGTATATTTACACCTTTCTGGCTTTGTTTGGTGGCAGAAGCTCAGATTTAGAAGGAGCCAATATATGGGAATTTTCAACTCGGTCTTGTTTCCTTGCCCCGGTCTTCCCACAGGCTGCACAGAGTGCTGTTTGACTCACATAAGTCGTGTGTAACCAGGGAAGACAATCTTCAATTGCTCAGTGATGCACACACAAGGTGTTTTATTTGTAGCTATTTTTAAAAGGCCATTCTTCCCAGCTCTGGCTTTCAGGTTCATAAGGTTGGGGAGTTATAGGTCTGACTTTTGAATGCGTTTTCTGTTATTTGTCTCTCTGGTCATTTAAAGTCTTAATACTGTGCTTGTCAGGATATTCTAGTATTGTTATTCTTTATACTTGATACCCTTGGATGTAAGGATGTTAGGTATAAAAAGAGCTTTTGGACTCATGAATATTTGGACTATGTCTCTGGATTTTTCTTTTAGAAATATTTCATGTGTTATTTCAGTTGGGATAACTTTACATTCTAAAAGACCAATTTATGTTTCCTCTCATTTAAATAAATCTGTGTGTGTGTGCTGAGGATGACAATCTTTGGAAACTCCTTTGGTGGAACAATTTCCTTTTACTCTGTTGTCTATCTGGATCTTTTCCAAGCTTTGAGTCATCAAAAGGGATAGCCAAATCCAAGTCTGAAGACTTTTTCCTCTGCTTCTGTCTCTACTTTCCCTTCTTTTTCCATACAAATTCCTCTGAACAAGTGTAATGCATTAAGAAGTTACCTTGGAATGTTACTGGGAAGTCAGGGGTCCCCTTTTATAAAGGGGGAAAAATTGAAATTTCTGATGCCTGTCACACCAAAAACCAGAGAGAAGAAATGGGAATTGAATTCAAGCTGCATTTTATTCAGACAGCCAGAAATCTGGGAAGACGGAGGCAATGTCCCCAAACCTGCCGTTCTCTCCCCATCTACAGCTATAGCTAGTGTGAGTCTCTGCAAAGTTGAGTTGTATCTCTGTGGTGGGGGGGGTCAGCTTTGCCTTGGAGATTCACAATGTTGGTGAATCTGCCCTCATTGTCCCCATATCACCACTAATTATCATCTTCCTCTGTGTAGCAGTGCTTCTGTGCCCGAGGGCCACTGAGCCTGCACAGAGGCACCACCTAGGTTATGTGTCTAGGTTGAAGGCCAACTCCAATTAAACAAACTGTTAGTATTGTGTGCCTGGCTAGTCACAGTGTGGACAAGCAGACTCCTTTCTACAGGAAGTACTCAATGTGCTGCTGTGAAATATGAGCGTGTCCTTATCTTTTCCTACCACCTTTGCAGCTTCCCAGTCTCATAGGTTAAAACAATTTTTTAAGCAGACCCAGAAGGAAACTCCCGGCAGCTTCTGGGGGGAGGGAAGTGGGTAAGAGGAAGAGAGGAAGCCATACTTTCTGAGGTAGCGATCGCTTGTCAGCTGCTGCAAAGGATGGAATGCTCTTTAGAGATGGGAATGCCCAGCATGCCAGGGCAAGGGGGCTTAGGATTTGAGCTAATACTTGAAAAAGAGACAGAAAGTGGAGGAAGGAAAGATTATGTTCTTTCAATTAGAACTCAGAGAACAGGCTAAGCAGTGAGGATCTGTAAGCAACTGCATGGAGAGAAAGACATCTAGGGTATAGAGCTCATTAAGGGGTTATTTTCCCCTCCGATCCTCTTAATGTGTCTTCAGGTATAACAGATAGTTTCCTTGAGTGGTGGTTTTCTGTCTAGGTGATTGGCAGTCCCATTTAGATTAACACTTAAGGGAGGATGCAATAGCATGTTTTTGTTATATATGTGTATATATACGCGTGTGTATGTGTGTAGTAGTAGTAGTAGTAGTAGTAGTAGTAGTAATAGTAATGAAGGCCTACTGAGCTCTCATCCTGTTTTTGTAATCTTATAATCTTTTGAGCAGTTGCAATGCCATGTTTCTACCCAGAGTCAAAGATGCAATTCAGTTATCTTTCCTTGGATAAAAGCTTATGTAACTGGACCTCTGCTCCCATGAGCTCACAGCTGCTGTGGTTGCCTGCACAAGACCTGCACGAGATCAAGCTGGTTGATATTACAGCATGGAGTGGGGGGGTGCTGCCCCCAGCTGAGGAGCTGTTATTGACAGTTGATGGCTACTAGGTGGGAGAGAGTCAGTGTACTTTATGGGTGTGGTCCCTGGTAGCTTGACCGTGTTCCAGTGGATGACTCCACACCCACGAGGGTATGGAGAGCGCTAATTGGACTCTGGATTATTTTAAACATGGCAGGAGTCATGAAGTTGGAAGAGGGATGTAGGGGTATATCTGGGAGGAGTCTGGGGGTGAATATAACCAAAATATAATGTGTGAAATTCTCAAAGAACAAATAAAATATTATACTAAAATCATGTAACAGTCTAAACTGTTAGAGGAGGGAATGGGGGTGGGTTGTGGGGGAGGCTGGAGGGGTTGGAGGAGGGAAGAGAAGGGAATCTGTGGTTGATATGAAAAATGAATAAAAAATGTCTTAATTAAAAAAAGGAAATTATGTAACAGTATATTAAGGAGAATTAAAGAAAAAAATCTATAACCACGTTTTACCAGGAGAAAATGGATTTTCCTTTGTGAGCTGTACCTTAGCTCTACTAAGCACACCCAAACATGATATTTCTCTCCTTTCTTGTGGTATTTTAAATTCTACGGAGGTTAATTGCAATATTTCCCCTTTCTTTTTTTTTTTTTTTTTTTTTTTTTTTTTTCGAGACAGGGTTTCTCTGTGTAGCTTTGCGCCTTTCCTGGAACTCGCTTTGGAGACCAGGCTGGCCTCGAACTCACAGAGATCCGCCTGCCTCTGCCTCCTGAGTGCTGGGATTAAAGGCGTGCGCCACCACCGCCCGGCCTTATTTCCCCTTTCTTAAAATTAGAGTGTTACCAGTAAAAACTCGAGGTAGGGTTGAAAGTTGATTGTGAGTGCAAAGAGTTCAGTGCCTTACAAGTCTGCTCCTGCTTGCCTTGCTACCTGACAGGGGCGTGTCCACAAGGCTTTCTGTTTAACTGTGAATCTGCATTGACTGTGTAAAACTAATGTAATATTTTTTATATACTAATGAATTTCTGTTTGTTTACTTATAATTAAAATGTTTATGATATGCCCCCACCATGAAAGGAAAGGCTTTCATAGTCTTTAAGTTCTTTCTTTCTTTAATCATGCTAACTTTTGGGTAGAGATAGTGCTAGGGACTTGGAGTGAGGTTGGCTGTCCAGTTTTCTGTGGTCTGGTTATCCTGTAAATAAGGAAGTAGAGAGAATTCTTAGGATGAGTCAGAGACTTGGATCTTTCTTTCTGCTTTGGGTGAATAGCATTTTGCCAAATTTTTATGGAGCACACACAAGTAAAATAACATCAAAAACAAACCAAAACAATGCCATGGTTTATTCTAGCTCAGTTTATGTCATGAAAGGTACGTTTCCAGGCAGCATGTAGGGCTTGCAAAAGTTTTAAGATAATTTCCACTTACCTGTTCTGTAATTCCTCTTGATGGCTGGCCTCCTTATCCCAGGCCTCATCTTCCTTGGAGATATGTAGCACACCTCTTGCACTGTCATTTTGGTGTGAGAATTCCAGCCTCACTCCCCAAGCTGAGGGCTTCTGTAGCAGTATTCCTGCCTGCTCCAAGAAACTCTTATCCTCCAGGACTGACCTTACCCAGGAGTAGGGAAGTCAGTGGTTTAAACCTCCAGGGAGGCACATCTATATGAAAACAAAGAGTGTTCACTATGCAGGGCATGACAATCCTATCTACCCTCTGATGCAAAATGCATCTCAGGCCCTGGAAAACCTCCAAATCAGAATTTGCATTTCGATATGATCTCTGGGGGTTTCTGTGCACATAAGAGAGGTTGGCCTTCCCCCCATTTCCCCTTATCTTATAGAGAAATATTAAAAAAGCTAGTGAACATGAATGATGAGGCAACCCTCCCAAGGTTCAAAGGATTTCAACATTCTTAATGCCTTCCTCATCATCCTGTCCTGTATCATATCATAGTCCACCGGTCTGTAGAGAATGAGTGGTGGGAGGAGTCATTCTGGTCCCCTTTCCTGTTGGGGGAATTCTCCTGTCCTTGCTAAGAGCAATGGCATCTTAGCCTTTTTAACAGGTTGTAAATTCTGTTGTGTGATAGTGTCTTCTGGGCACGACAGGGATGTTGTTCCCATGAACTGTCAGTAATGTGGCTGCCTGCAAAAGACTGAAAAGACCACAATTGACATGGCAACACGGATGGAGAAAAATTTCACAAAACCCCACCCCTAGGTGAAGAGCTACAGGCAGTCAATGGCTGCTAACAGAGGGAAAGAGAACCAGTTTTGTTTGTTTCTTTCCCCTCCC